CGTTACATTATCGTAGACGACCCATTTTTCGCCACCCGTCATTCGTTTAAAAAACGGGTCGTTTTCTTGGCGTTTTCGTAGCGAATCGCAGATGGATATGCGTGTGGTTAAGTTAGCCTCGGTTAATTGATGCGGCAACATTAAGCCGAGAAATCCCAGCTGGCGCAAATGCTTTTCTACGTTTGTGTGGGATATATTCAATGTCGTAGCAATCTCTCATACCGATTGGGATGGATTTACTTCGATTATAGCCTTAATGTCACTTGAATTAATCTCGGTCGGGCGACCGGAGCGCATCATTGACGTCGAAATCTCCAGAACGGAAATTGACATACCACTTTTGGCACACGCATTCTGTTAAGGCATTATCTCCATACACACGGCATATCTTTTTATGAGTATCCGCAGCTCATTTGCCTTTTTTAAAATAATAGAGCAAAATGTCACGATAATGCACGTTATTTATTTCCATGTTCACAGCTACGCAGCACACACAATACTGATGTTAGCCAAACCAAACACAGCACAACATAAACAGTGAAACATAACCTTTCAAATGTGTATTCGATTTGCACGATAGCGCTGAGAAAAGAAAAGCGAATCCGCATGAAACTTACACTGAAACAAAAACCGAACGAACTTATTTGCCAACCCAATATATCTGTATTTAGATACGAAACACAGTATCTGCATAGCTTTTCAGATACATTTTTTGTCGATAATGGAAGAAAAGTATGTTTCTTTTTTATTTGCCTATGCAGAGATCCTCAAGTAAAAGATGCAATTCGTGTGTTCTGACATATCGCCGTATGAAATTTGCTCATACGCACATTGAAATAGCGAAAATGCTAAATAATGTTCGTCAACAATTTGAATTATCTGTAATCAGTAAAATCTGTAATCAATAAAATTGTAAGAACGGTCACAGATAATGCCTCAAATTTATAAAAGCATTTCGTATATTTTCACTTGATAATGACGAAATTGAAAAAGAGCCAGAATATTTACAAAACGATGACATTGTTATATCTGAATTTGAACTTCCAAATAATATTGACGACGATTTAGGAGAATTTTCTTTGCCAACAATACAAATGTATGTCACACATATTGAATTTAATTGCAACTACAGATTCATGTGTAGCTCTATCTAATATCAAATACAAAAAATTATATAATTCATTTTCTAAAGCAAGTCTAAAATATAATACATAAATCAAGGCAACAGATATTGAAGAAATCGCGCATACTAAATTACAAGTTCCTTGCCCCAGCCGTTAGAATTCAAGTTATGATGCAGTTTGTAAATTCATATGAGGATAATATGCTATCAATACGATATCTTTTTGCTTGTCTGACAAATAAGAAAGAACTTCTATGTGAATGACACTGTCAATTGTTTCCACGTTATCTTAGTCTTTTAAAAATTTAAAGAATTGTTCATCTTCTACGAAAGATACTGAAGAGCCATTAGAAGATATTCTGGTTTCATTTTTTATATATTCATATTTTTTTGTTTCTGTAATAAGCAAGTTATAAGCAACTATCGATTAAAAATTACTCAAACGAAATTTGCGATCGTTTAGATAAGCCAAGGTTCAAAATGATCGAGATTGAGTTTTTTTAAGAATATACTGTGGTAATGAGAAGTAATGAAAAGTTTAGCATGCACTCTTGATTTGCTACAGAGAGAAAATTATTGTTATTTAGAATGCGTTTTACCAGCTTTGTTGCAACTTAAAATTAATTTGCAGACACTTTACGAATTACCTAATTGCGAACCCTTGAGAAATACTCTAATAGATGACACTAAAAAAAAGATTCGGGAATACTGTATTGAATTTTGACAGTATACGCAGTTAAACTTTATATTATTTCATCTGTGACTGTTCCTAAACTTAAGTTGAAATGGCTAAACTTGATTCCGAAAGCAGGAATTTTTTCAAAAACGACCCTGAACCACGAATATTGTAAAAACTTGCTTATTACAGAAGCAAGAAAATATACGTATATAAAAATTGAAATTTCTAATATCTTCTAATGGCTCTTCAGCATCTTCCGTAGAAGATGAACAATTCTTTAAATTTTTAAAAGACTAAGATAACGTGGAAACAATTGACAGTGTCATCCACATGGAAGTTCTTTCTTATTTGTCAGACAAACAAAAAGATATCGTATCGATAGCATATTATCCTCTCCTAAGATTTAAATGTATTACATTTAAATCCAAGATTTAAATGTATGCTTCAATATGCATGGTATGCAAATTGGTATCCAAATTAGCTGACGAAAGAGAAATGTTTTTAAATGTTAACCAACTATGCTTTCCTCCAAATATTTATAATAAAAAATGTGTATGTGAACAACATAATTCATTTATAAAATGTTCGTGGTGCGACAAAGTTTTGTTTCCAATGTTTTTACTTGAATTTTCATCCACTGCGAAGCGATGGAAACATTTTATAATATGTAGACATTTATAAAGTTTGTATTTGATTTTGACATGTATAAAATTTATACGTTGCTTGAAAAATATATAATCAGTTCATACGATTTATATATTTTTTATTTCATATTGCGTTCAAATATCCCGAAGTGTCCTTATTTTTTTACATAAAAACGAAATAAATTAAAAAATAAATAATTATTAATAACGTATTACTATATGTCGAAAATTAAAGAAAAAAAGAAGAAAAAACCATGAAGTGAAGCAGTCGTCGGTGGGATCCGAACGCTCGCCGCCGGTGCAAAAATCTATGTGTGGGAGCCTTAGTCTCCTCAGCTACGCCGCTTACTTGAAAGAGGTCGTAAAGTTAGTGCTTATGTGTGACGTAGTTGCGTGACCCTAACTTTGTCTCTTAAATTCTCTTAAACAAAGGCGCATTGGCACGAACGGCTCTAGGGTTTTCATACATACCTACATACAAGCTATCGAACGCACTATGACTCGTTCGAAAAACGATTTTCTAATTGGCGTCATCTCCTTGTTAGTATATAATTATTTCTTTGGTTATATTACTAATTATAGGATATTTTGTGTATGTTTATATACAGAGTATATAAAAAGTTCCGGGACCCCTGAATATGTCAGAGAGGTTACGTTTTAGAAAAAAATGTTAAATATGAATATGTAGGGTTTCAAGAAGTCTATCTATTAGTCTTATCAGTTTGATTTTGAGTAACGTTGCCATGGTCAGGTAAAGGACAACTTAATCTTTTAAAATAGAAAACCCATTTTTTATTACATCATTTTTTTCTACCAATTAATTTTAACAACTTCTGTCTGAAACATTTTTTTATTTGCCTAATATTTTTTTAGATATTTAAAGAAAACTTGGTAACTTTTTCAGTATTTAATTTGCTATATTTGGCTAAACTACTCGTCAGAAGAAAAAATAGTACCAGATGTTTTTACTCTATTTGATCTCAAGAATATATTATTATAATAGCGCCTTGACTTTTGTTAATTTGATGATTTTGAAATTTCCAAAGGTTGATAAGTTAACAAAAGATAACGCATTATTGTAATTCAAGCAGCCGAGAAGTCAACCACCTGAACTTGCCTATAATGACATGATATGTACAATATCTATACGCGACTCAATTAATTATAATGTCGTCGATAATGCTAAATCGTGTAGTAAAAAGTATATCACATATAAAAGGTATATCACATACTCGTGTACACCTTGTATATACCATATTTTCCAAAAATAACGGACTTCCCCCCTATCTCAGAATCTATGTATTATAGGGAAAAATGACTCAAACAAAAGTTTTAGGGTTCATAAAGTTCTGTTCTTTTGTGATCTCAAATTTGACCTTGACCTCGACCTCGAAGGTCATTTGAAGATCAACTTGTGTTTTTTAAATGGGTACCCCTATTTTTTATTACACTGTTTGTTTCTACCAATTAATTTGAACAACTGTTGTCTAAAACATTTTTTTATTTGCCTAATATTTTTTTAGATATTTGAGGAAAATTTGATAACTTTTTCAATATTTAACTTACGATATCTCGTTAACTATTTGTCGGAAAAAAAAGTGGTACTAGACTTTCTTGCTTTATTTAGTCTCAAGAATATATTGTTATAATAGAACCATGAAAGAAGGAGGGCGTACTAAGTGGCGACGGGACGCCGTGCGTTCGAGACCTGCATCTTATTTTCGTTCCGAAGAGAGAAAAATATCGAGAGTGCGGTAAGTCGCTAGACCGGGAATCGGACCCGAGTCTTTCGCTTGCCGGGCGACTGCTCTAAACCACTGAGCTACTTGACGCTCACGACATTCTCTTCTCCCTAAATAACGTTGAGAGATGTCGTTCGGAAGCGACATCTCTAGTGCTATCCCGAGCGCACGGCGACTACAGAGAGAGGCATTGTTATTTGTACCTGGTGGTACAAGCTGACAGTCTCTCAAAGTCAAAGGTTGCTATCCTTTAAGACCTGCTGTCCATGTATGCCGCCCTGACTTTTGTTAACTTACTTCAAAATCATCAAATTAACAAAAATCGGGGCACTATTGTAACAATATATTCTTGAGACTATATAAAGCAAGAAAGTTTAGTACCACTTTTTCTTTCGAGAAATAGTTAGCGAGATATCGTAAATTAAATATTGAAAAGTTATCAAGTTTTTCTCAAATATCTCAAAAAGTATTAGGCAAAAAAAGAAATGCTTTAGACAACAGTTGTTCAAATTAATTAGTAGAAAAAACAGTGTAATAAGAAATAAGGGTTTCCATTTAAAAAACGTAAGTTGACCTTCAAATAACCCTCAAGGTCGAGGTCAAGGTCAAATTTGAGATCACAAGAAAACAGAACTTTATGAACCCTAAAACTTTTGTTAGGGTCATTTTTCCCTATAATGCATAGATTCTGAGATGGGGAGGGGGGGGTCCGTTACTTTTAGAAAACTTGGTATATATTTATTTATTCATTTATTTATTTATTTATTATATGTATTATTTATTTATTATATGTATATGTTTGACTAATCTAGGAGCAGTTCCATGCATATGAATACAGTTAAATTAAAGATGTCCAGATGGCGTGTACAGGGTGTCCCAGAACAACCAGATTTCCCCTTAGGGGATGAAAGGAGGTGCAATTTGGAACCAAATGTTCATCTACCACTTTTGGGTCAGAAAATTAGTTTATGAGTTATTAACTAATGCATCTGACCAATCAGATTATTCGATGGGCGGGCATACAGGGGAGTAGGATTTAAGTATTAATTGTAATCTATCAAATTGAAAATTTTCAAATTCATAGAGTAAGAAAGAAAAAAATGGCCGCGGAGACATTTTTTAAATAACTCCATAAATAGAAGTCGGGTGATGTCAAGTCGACAGATTGCGCTGGCTGTTATTAGCTCACCTCGTCTGATCCACATGCCATTGTAGCGTCTATTCAAATAATTTCTTACAACTTTCGCATAATGTGGTGGAGCTCCATTTAATTCAATCCACATTCTGAGTCTTGTATACAAATCAACATCTTCAAGTAATCCTGGTAGATCATTCTTTAGAAAAACTAAAAAATTCAGACCGTTTACGTTACCACCAAAGATGTATGGACCAATTAGCTGTTAATAATATCGCACCATACGTTAATACTTCAGCGATGTTGATTTGTCTACTACTAACGAAGTACTAACAAGGGTTAACATCTGCCCAATAATGATAATTGTGTCTGTTTAGTTATCCACTATTATGAAATGTTGCTTCATCACTAAACATTGCATAATAAAAAACCTGGATTATTCCTAATCATTTGTTAGGCCCAACGGCAAAACTGTAAACGTATCCTCATATCATTTGGTGTAATAGATCGCGTTATGTGATATGGATGATATCTGTGGCTTTTTTAAATTCTTAGAATGGTAGTTCTAGATATACCTATCTGTCTCGCCATTTGACGGCTACTAATATGAGGATTGAGGTAAATTGACGCTAAAACGATCAATATACGTACGTTGTTCTCTTCATAATCATGAGTTTGTCTCCTATGTACCAAGTTACTAAGTTACCTTGTTGAACTATTAAATAAATGTTTCGAATAATAGCAACATGCGGATAACACCGGTTTAGACACCGAACTTGATAAAGAGCAACAGCTTGACGTTAATTATTACGACATTCACTAAGAATAAGCAACATGTCAACTCTTTCTTGCTCCACCATATGCGAGAATTGTAAGAAATTATCTGAATAGACGCTACAATGACATGTAGATCGGACGAGGTGGACCAATAGCATGGCCAGCGCGATCTTCCGACTTGACGTCACCCGACTTTTATTTAAGGGGTTATTTAAAAAATGTCGTGTACGAACGCGAACCCACAACTCGAGAAGACATGATTCAGAGAATTGAAATTACTTGTAGAAACATACCACGGGCTGTATTACTAGAAACTGTTAGCCATTTTGAGCGAAGGATCGCGTTATGTATTTAAAAGAATAGAAACATCTTTGAACATCTTTTATAGTATGTTTATAAAAAATCGTGAGAGGCAAGGGGACTCACATAAATCAAGCACCCTGAATCGTGAAAGGCGCGCGCGCGCACGCACGCACGCACGCACGCACGCACGCACGCACGCAACAGAGGTGTAAATCCGACCGTGCAACCTCCACGCGGTACACCATGCAGATAATGCTGATGCCGGCGGTATTGTAACTTTCAAACCTCATAACTCGGAAAGTATTCAATGAAACATAACTTATTTATAATGTTTTGAAAAACTCTCGAGATAAGCTACAAGAATATGTAATGAGAAATAGAGATTTCCATTTAAGAAATTGAAGCTGACCTTGACGTGACCTTGACACGTTCACTCAAGATCAAACCAATGACGTAATCTTATGTCCCCTTTCGAATTAAACAACTTTTTTCTGAAACATTTTTTGATAAAACCTCCTTTTCGAGATATTCGCATGTATTGATTAAAATGGTCCACCCTGTATATACATATACAGGGTGTCTTAAAAATACTGGAACCCCCGGATAACTTTGCAGGATCAAGTTTTCATAAAAAACTTTAATTACAGAAGTTGCAGAAAATCGAGTAACGGACTTGATGGTGACCTTGAATTTAACCTTGGCTATGACCTTCAAGGTCATTTGGAGGTCAACTTGCGTTTTTTTAAATGGAAACCCTTATTTCTTATTACACTTCTTTTCTACTAATTAATTTGAACAACTTTTGTCTAAAACATTTTTTTATTTGTTTAATATTTCTTGAGATATTTGAGGAAAACTTGATAACTTTTCCAATATTTAACTTACGATATCTTGCTAACTATTTGTCGGAGGAAAAAATGGTACTAGACTTTCTTGCTTTATTTAGTCTCAAGAATATATTGCTACAATAGCGCCCTGATTTTTGTTAACTTACTGACTTTTGGAAATTTCAAAATCATCAGATTAACAAAAATCAGGGTACTATTGTTATAATATATTCTTGAGAATAAATAAAGCAAGAAAGTCTGGTACCACTTTTTCTTGCGACAAATAGTTAGCGAAACATTGTAAGTTAAATATTGAAAAAGTTATCAAGTTTTCCTCAAATATCTCAAAGATATTAGGCAAATAAGAAAATGCTTTAGACAAAAGTTGTTCAAATTAATTGGTAGAAAAAATAGTATATTAAAAAATAAGGATTCCCATTTAAAAAACGCAAATTGACCTCCAAATGACCTTGAAGATTATGGCCAAGGTCAAATTTAAGGTCACCATCAAGTCCGTTACTCAATTTTCTATAACTTTTGTATTTAAAGTTTTTCATGAAAACGATCCTGCAAAGTTATCCGACGGTTCCGGTATTTTTAAGACACTCTGTATATAAGGTATATACGAGTATATGATATGATATGATACAACTTCTTACCACACTTTTAGCATTATCGACGGCATTATAGTTAATTGAGTCGCGTATAGATATTGCACATATCATGTCATTATAGGCAAGTTCAGGTGGTTCACTTCTCGGCTGCTTGAGTTAAGGAGGAACATCACTATGGGTCCAAAAAAAGCCTTTTTCTCAAATCTTTTTTTACTATTTATTGAATTATTTAAGGATTGGGAGAAGAATATATTATTAAGGATACTTTGAAGTAGTTTTATACAAATTTTCATTATAAGATAATAAAAATTAATAAAGATATATACAATAGAGTGCTGGTCCGAAAAAAATTCTTCCAACAGTGAGATCGATATCTCTAGCATGGTTCATCTGAAACAGAAAACTCAAATATTTTTTTAATCTACATAAATGTAGTTTTCGTTAAGCGTGACCGTTTTTCTAAATTAATTTTTCTCAAAATAGCTCAAATTTCTCAAATAGATGTTAAAAAAAAATCCTCGATTTTTCCAACATTTTTTTTCCATCTCAGGAGGTTTTAAGAAATAGTAATTTTCAAAATAAAAAAACGGCTACGCTTAACGAAAATTACATTTATGCAGATTAAGAAAATATTTGAGTTTTTTTCAGATGAACCATGCCAGAGATATTGATTCCACTGTTAGAAAAATTTTTTACGGACCGGCACTCTATTCTATATATCTTTATTAATTTTTATTATTTTTTAATAAAAATTTATTAATAATAATTTGTATAAAACTACTTCAAAGTGTCCTTAATAACATATTCTTCCCCCAACCCTTAAATAATTCATTAAGTAGTAAAAAAAATTTGTAAAAAAGGGCCTTTTTTGGTCACAGTGGTGTTCCCCCTTAAGATCCATACGAGAAGATGTAGATACTTAAATGGAAATGCATATAAAAATATGGAAATGAAAACAAAAATTACGCTTGTAGCGAGAAAGATTTTGAATCTTGTGTGCACTACCGGGTATCTAGGTGCCCATCTGTGCACATTTTTTGAAAAATTTTTATATTCCGGTGAAAATTTTTTCAAATCCGTCCAGATTTTCACGATTGAACCCTTTTCTTATCAAAATCTGCTTTTAGAATTTTACTTTCAAATTATTAACAAAGAAAATTATAGCTTTTATCTAATGTATGCGCCAAGCACAACCGGGGCACCCGGGTACCTACGCATGGAAATATACGAATTACGTTTGATGTCTCAATTTAAAATACGTTTCATTTATTTTAATGATTAAGATTATTAAATAAATAAACACGAAGGTTTTTACAATAAAAACATATTTTTGCTAAATTATGTGTACATTTATTAGGTTTTTTCCAATGAAAAAACTTTATTCTGCTACATTATTCGGCGCACTCTTTACATTAAATTAACGATAACCGCATGCTCATCACAGACAGGTTTATTACAAGCAAGACTTTCTAGTCTTCCTACTTTTTTTATAGCTTGCTTATAGCAAAGGTGGCAAGATCCAGTCACAATTTTCCTGCTGATGCGATCCAACTGCTGTGACGCTTTAGGAGCGTATTCGACTTGTATCAAGGATACTCTCTATAGCTAACTTTGTTGAACGATATCTCATGATTTGTACATTTTGAGATCTGTCTTTAACTATCGGCATCGTAAGTTCTTCACTTCTACTCGCGCTGATCCTTATTCTAGTTCTTGTTGCTCCTCATTTTCTTTGTCGCCACTTTCTTCGCTATCTGAGGCCTCAGCCGCTGGTGCTGGCGTCTGCGCAGAAAACCAGTCCTCATCCCCGCTGTCAGAAGGGCCTAAACTTTCTTCGTCGAAATCACCGAGTAATTGTTTTAAATATTGGTCTTGTTCCTCACGAGACAATCTAAAATAAGTGCACAAATAAATAAAATCATGTGCTTACAAATATCCTTGTTGAGACCTTGTCTCGCACAAAAATATTTATTTCAATTTATTTTGCGTACTCAGCTCTCGATAATAGCTCCATTTTTCTGTTACTTCTATACATAAAAATTACGATTTTTCACACTTTACAATTTATAGAACACTAATAAATCTCGAAAAAGTAGCAAAAGAAAACAGTAAGTTCGTTTATTTTTATTTTCTTCATCATCGTTTGTCTTCACCTAATAATATGTTTCATTATTACGTGTTAATTGTATTTGTTAATCACATTGCATGCTTATATCTGAGTGCCCACGATATTCAAAAAAATGTCAATTACATAAGAATTTATCCCATTGCAGATGTTTATAAAATATACAACTGTATTTTTGATATATACTTGTTCTCTCTCTTAGAACAACAATTGAATATATAATATATAGAATGTATTTTTTAAATATTCCAATATTTTTCAATATTTTAAAAGTTGATTTTTTGGATCATTTAGGCAAAATCATGAAGAAAATTTCATACGAAAATATACGTTCAAGCCGCATGATCGTTCGATATAATAATAGCTGCGTTGAGTATATATTGTACGTTGAAGAACACGTATTTATTCTCCTACAAATCAATATGTACTAACCTCTGGCTGCACACAGTTAGACAGCCTTCCTAAAGTAAGATAGTGTGAGTACTCCCCACTACTCCCCTTTGAAGTTTTGGAGCAGCTGCCGCTCGTAAGACTTTGAAACTAGCTGAGCGGTTACCTGGCTAATCACCTCTTGTAAGCGGTGCACTTGTCTGTATATCCGGAAAATATCTTTTGCACCTTTCTTTATGTTATAATTATTTAATAGAAGCCCGTAAAAGCGATTGCTCTTTCTTAGAAAATAAATATATAAGAAAATCTATTAGTGAACACCCGGGTACTCCGGTTGTGCTACAGCGTTGGTAATTTTAGTTGTGTATACAAGGGTTAAGACTCATATAACGTTATTTTTTATTACATGTTTATAATGCATTACCACATTAAGTATCTACATCTTTTCGTAAGGATCTTAGCTCAAGCAAAGAAGTCAACCTGAATTTGCCTATAATGACATGCCTATAATGCCATGATGCGTGCAATATCTGTACGTGACTCAATTAACTACAATGCCGTCGGTAATGCTAAATCGTGTGGTAAAAAGTTGTATCACATACTCGTATACACCCTATATATATATATTTATTTATTTATTTATTTATTATATGTATTTATTTATTATATGTATATGTTTGACAAATTTAGGAGCAGTCCCATGAATACGAATATAGTTAAATCAAAGATGTCCGGATGGCGTGTTAGATCGCAGTAAATCGCGATGCAGGCATATAGTTGTTCGACGTAATACGGAGGGGATAAAATCGACCAAAATATCGTTCTTACGTGTTCTGAGAAAATGATGACATCGCTGCACCATTCTCGCCGTATTGAGTGTTGTGTCCAGTTGGTCTACAAATAATCTCCATTATCATTACATTAAAAAAGAAGAAAACAGTAAGTTCGTTTATTTTTATTTTCTTCATCATCGTTTGTCTTCACCTAATAATATGTTTCATTATTACGTGTTAATTGTATTTGTTAATCACATTGCATGCTTATATCTGAGTGCCCATGATATTCAAAAAAATGTCAATTACATAAGAATTTATCCCATTGCAGATGTTTATAAAATATACAACTGTATTTTTGATATATACTTGTTCTCTCTCTTAGAACAACAATTGAATATATAATATATAGAATGTATTTTTTAAATATTCCAATATTTTTTCAATATTTTAAAAGTTGATTTTTTGGATCATTTAGGCAAAATCATGAAGAAAATTTCATACGAACATATTACAAAAGGGCTTCATTTCTGATATATCTGATAGATTATTACACATTCTATAAAGTTATTGTTTTTCTTAATAATTGTCTAAATAGCAAGAGGTTTCTTTTTCAAATTTGAACCAATATATAATATAAGCAAAGTATTCGTTCTTTACTTATCATTTATCAAAATTTTGTAGAAAGTGAATAACACAAAAATGGAATTTAAATAACATTAGTGTTTCGAACTCGTACGCCAGTAAACGGGAAATCAAATCCTTTTATTTTGATTTTTATTACTTTATTAGTTACCTAAAAAATACTTATACATTTCGATAAAACTATTAGCCTGGGAAATATTTGTGCTTCAGTATTTTAAAAATTCCATCTCTACGCTACTGCTTTTTAATTTAAGAGAAAAGAAAGTTTATGTTAAAACTCAGGAATTTCGTGTAGCAAGATTACATTAAAATATATATGAGCTTTTGAATATATTTTCTCTCGCTACAAAATTTTAGTCTTTTTTTAGGTCTTTAATTTATTTAATTTTTAAGTTTTTAATTTCTTAATAAATATTTTTTTAACTTAGTTTTAGTAATACTGCAAGAGAATAGATAATAATTCTTTACGAAGAAATATATCGTTGAAATAACATAGATAGCATAGAAATGAGTAAATGTTTAGATAATTCATTTTAAAAAAGACCTATACACAGAATTAGAAAAACGTATAACTGAAGAATTCTTGAAAACTTACTCATAATTAAATCTGTTTGGAATATTCTTTAAAAGTTCATTATAACAAATACTTAATAATTCAATATTTTGAACACTAAGAATTCATGAAATATTATAAATATATTGTTTGTTACGGATATTATCTGTGTGATACTGTATTTAGCAGACATTTGTTACTTTCAGCATATTTAGCAGACATATATTATTTTCAGTATTTTTTCCTTTCATGAAAACTAAATATATCTGATATAATTATTATATTATATATATAATATATAATTGTGTATATTATATATATATTATATATTTTATATAATATAATTATATTATATTATTTTATATAATTATTTTCACTCTATATATAGAAGAGAATTGTTACCTAGTAAGTACCAATTAATAGTAACATTAAAACAATATTATAATTTTTCACTCTAAACGATATAATTGTTACATATTCATACCACGTTACGTTATGCTGTATTTATATTAATGTATGTTGCACGTGCGCGCGCGTGTGTATATGCGAACGTGCGCGATATGTGTGGCGTGTATATAGTAATATGATACGAGCGGCATGCGAATAATTGTTATTGTTCCGCCTTTAACTGCCAGCCAATAGTTATCACCACTAAAAGGCAGCTATTTTCGGTGAGCTTGCGTCTATAGAGTTCGTTCCACAACGTCGTTCGCGTTGATTCGCCAATTTTCTTTTATTAATACCTCGAAATTCCACATGATTTTTTTTATAAAATGACAAGAGTCTTCATATTAAATAGCGGGATTCTGTAATTCGTTAACGATAACGACACTGTCATTGTGCATCTTTTTTGCCATATATTATACTTTTACAATGATAATGTCGTTATCGTTAATGAGTTACAGAATTCGGTTACTGCGCTAGGTTAACATGTTCTATTTTCATGCGTGGGTCAATGCTGGGAGATCATAGATATTTTCCACAACAAAAGCTTTCTACGCATGCGTGATGTGACGTACAGCTTGAAGTAAGCAATAACCAATGACAGTTGTAGACGCAACATAATGGTTTGTAGGGAGATCTATATAAAACATTCAATCGTCTGTCCGTTGCTATTTGCCTGCTCGACTATAGACATTATAAAATAAAATATATTGTATTTATTGATACTTATGAATAACATTCTGCTTCTTTCATAGAAACTTTCCTTTCTCTCTACAATTCCTTCATATTTTTCTTTTTAGGCGAGGAACCTTACGATATCCTAAAATAGATCATTGAGGTTACCATAGCGTTTGCTTAATGTACGTGTGCAAAAATATATTTCGATCCCCCCAGCACTGGCGTGAGTTTGAATATCTTACGTCAAATACCTTATATAAAAGTGTTAAGGCTCCAGTACCGCGATTCTGTAACTCGTTATTGGAGTTAACGACAGTTCCGTTATTGTTACGCAGCTTTTCTACGGTATACAAAAGCTGCGCAACGATAACGAAACTGTCGTTAACTCCAATAACGAGTTACAGAATCGCGGTACTGGACCGCGACTCTGTAACTCGTTATTCTCGAACTCGCGCGAACCCAGTACGCGCGAGACGGTCGTGTGTAACATTTTGGGGGCTCGTCCGGGATCGTAACGCGAAACGATCGAGATCGCAACGCGAATCATTGCCACGCGAGCCGCAAGTGAAAGTGAAAGAGAGAGAAAATATGAAAAGTGAGGATACGTAATGACAACTGAGGCAAGAAGTTATGCAGTCCTCAGCCGACAGAAGCGCATTAGGTCAAATAAGTCGGTAGCGACGGAAACGGAGGCGGCAAGCTCCGAAATAACAGAGGATGCAGTTAGAGGTGTTACAGGATATGTTAAGGAGGTCCGAGCGATGAGGGAGGAACGGTTACGTTTGCTGGAGCAGCTGCAAGAAAGAACAGCACAACAACAGCAAGATACAACAGACTTCGTTTCCAATTTCTTTGTCATCTAAGCAAATTAAGGTAATTATTTAGAAGACGGGCCTCACCTTGGATTTCGCTCAAACTCACCTATCTTGTGTATTTTGACGTGTAGAAGCCGAATCTGCAAGTAAAAATGGTCGCTCGGCTCTAGTTTGCGAGAAATAAATAGTTAAAAAGTGACACATGCGAGGTTAGGAAATCTGTCATGTCGGTAATACAAACTTATGGTCTGTTCTTTTTAGTCGAAAAGTGTAAAATGGTACATGTTGAGGAGGGGCGAAGCCCTCTCCCCAAAAGACATTTTCATATATTAAACATATGAATGTTTGCTATTTTTTTAGCTCATGTATCAGTGATTATTACACAATAAAAATAACCACTGATACATGAGCTAAAAATTCATATGTTTAATATATGAAAATGTCACAAACATATGTATACATACAGTACCAAACATATGTGTATACACACACACACACACACGGGGAGGGTGCGGGAGGGGGGGCGAAGCCCCCTTGCATCCCCCGTGTGCGTGTGCGCGCGCGCGCGCGTGTGTGTGTGTGTGTGTGTGTATGTGTGTTGGTACTGCATGTATATACGTGTTTGAGACTTCTTCATTTGTTACATATCCCTCTCTCGCACCCTCCTCGTTCTCGTTGCGCCTTGAAAGTTATATCCATAAATCTCTGTATTACCGATATGACAGATTTCCTAACCTCGCATGTGTCACTTTTTAACTATTTATTTCTTGCAAACTAGAGCCGAGCGACCATTTTTACTTGCAGATTCGGCTTCTACACGTCAAAATACACAAGATAGATGAGTTTGAGCGAAATCCAAGGTGAGGCCCGTCTTTTAAATAATTACCCAAATTAAAACCGATATTTTTTATGGAACTGTGCCTCTATGCGAATATCTCTGTCAATTTGAATTGATAACACGGACTAACGAGGGAGAGATTTAGTTTTACATTATTTTTAAATAAAGAACGCTTACTCGTTCAAGTATATGTTATTTTGTTTCAGGGTAAAGATGTTCCATTTTTTTCTGATTCTGTCGTTTCCATCGTCAATTTTCTATCGATTATTCAAGGAGGCTGCCTCTCCCACGGTTTTTGACCGTGATTTTTCCGTGGGGCATTGGGCGAATGCCGAGGCAGAGACTTGGGGTGTTCTTCAAAAGAACGTGGGTCCATAGGAGTTTCTCCCCTCGCTGTCCGAGGAGGAGTTAAGGAGGAAACGGACGAAAAAGTAGAACAACAAGCGTTTTAGAAAGGTCCTGGAAACTGATCACCTCCTAGAGGACGGGGATAGAGATGGTGCTCTGAAGGCGAAGAGTCAAGATCCTCAGAACCTTTGATTGAGATTAGGAATTCACGAAGTCCGGTAACCTGTAGTAGCAGCTCAGAGTAAGACAGGAGCCATGATCTCTGGAGTCAAGGAAGAGGATGACGTTGTCTAGGAAAATTGTAGGGATGACAATTTTTCGAAGAGGAGAAGTAGTGTTATGTCCGAGCCACAAAGTTTGTGGCAGTGTCCGTTGTCCGCCAGCCTTAGGCATCTGATACCGATTTTGACAGCTGAAGGATGATTGTCTGAACGAATGATTGTCCGACGGAAAATCGATGAGAAGAAAACAACAGTTGAGAGAGGGTCATGAGCCGTCGCCGCGAGCTGACGTGTCGCAAACGCTATTCTTAATTATTGTTAGAACAAGAGAATTCGTTAATAAATGAGAGTTTGTACATATTTGAAGTAAAAAAGAATACTTTCTTTTTTCTTAAAAGTCTTGTCCAAGTTCATTTCGCGAACCTGGTACGCGCGAGACGGTCGTGTGTAACAATATACACTCAAACGCAAAAAACCCGGTACACTAAAAATTTGGGAAAAAATTACAAAATTTCAAATGATCATAACTTGGTAAATAATGAAGATACAAATATGCGCAGAAATGCAAAATGAAGCTTGAAACGTCCTCTTTAAGAATATCTGAATGGCAATTATGCTCGGCCA